GGATGTCGCGGTGCTGCTTGTCAGACGTTACTAACCGGGGTTAAATTATGTCTGCGATGCAGGCTGTGAAGGAGGAGGCTGTTTGTTTGCGTATTTATTTTCTTTATTTTTTCCATACTCTAAACTTTATCTTATGGTTAGATTCTTTCTTATTTTCATGGCGTGACAGTGAAAAACCAGCAACTGATACACATGGAATTGCAAGGCTAGAGAATTGATACATCCTGCTTGTTACCTTGGCAACCATACAGCTCCATCCTGAGGCAGATGTGCTTGTGCCATTCCTTAATAATCAGGCGCACAAACCGTGCCTGTATCTGGTTAACAAGTCTATGTCTTTTATTGCCTACAAAAACCTAGCAAAATCAAAGTACAAAAATCAATAACAAATTAAACATAACGTACAAATTAATGCCACTTCTCAAGTATTTTAATTAGGTGAGGGAAGTAATTAACTGTGACGCTAAAATTCACAGTTTGTCTTGTTAACATTCAGGCAGGGCCAAGTTGTTAAAAGCCGTTGCTACATTGTTTCCATTATTACGACTTTATTCCAGCATTACATTATTGCCTTAATGCGCGTTGCAAATCGACTCGTGAACCCTTGCCTTTAATCGTGGGTTAACGGTAATTAGATGTGAGTTGCCAAGGTAACTAGTGCCCTTCGAACAACTCGGCTAAAATGTCCCATGAGCGATTTATACGTTTAAACCCACAATTTATAATTAGGATTTACACTTTTCCGTCAAAAAAGAAAGTTCAAATGCTACTGATTAATGACCTTGACAGTGTTGTCGTCCGGGTAGTCTGACCAGCTTAATCCATCTTGGCTGTAAGCAATTACGAACTTAGTCACCCAGGCAACTCCTACGCCATCCTTAGGCGAAGTTTTCAGCTTTTCCTGAACTGCAACTCGTGAAATGACGTGAGTGCGGACAAGGTCTACTTGTATGTACTCATCCACGTTGTTTTCACGCGCGCACCATGCGCCGTTTCCTTGATGGCGATTGTAGCGAGAGTTCCCTGGTTTATAACCTGTTCCAAGATTGCTGGAAGCTGTTATAGACGATTCGGTGATTTTTGAAGTTTCTATCCCCAAGTCACTATCACAAACTACACAAAAACAAAAAGTAACTGATAATACAATAAAACTTATGCTCGGTGAAGCTCTTTGCTTGCTTTCAATTTGAGCCGTTTCGTTAAGTAAAGTACAACAATTCTATAATGGTAACTGCAAAAAAATCAAGTTCTTCTAAAGCGGGTATTTGATGTTTTAAGTTGTCCAGACTACTATAGCCGGGCTTATTAGCCCTTGAGATGTTCCAAACGAAATTTTTTTCCCTTGTTCAACTCTTTATATTATATTTCATCATTTATTTGGCCTTTTAGCTTTATTCTCTATAACTAGGGTATCTAAAAGATAGTAATGCTGCGCCACATTCTGTTGATACTGGCATTAGTTAGGCAGTGAGACATAAAAGAATCAAAAATGACATTGAATGTCCTATTTACATGTTGGAAAGTACTAGAATAATTACTATCAGTCTATAGAAAGAACTCGTGGGAACGTTGTTTAGAAAATGATCAAGTGGTTATCAACTCTGGTTTTCCCACAGTAAATTGTAGGAAATAATAGAAATTCAGATTGTTTATCCATATATTTAATATACGGTGCACGATATTTTCTCTGGAAACACAATACTTTTCTTGCTGTTTGTTGCACTTTATTAAGTAACAGTTATTTAGCTATATATTTATAGAAAACAACAACACAAAAAACGGAAAAAAAAAGAAAGAAGGAATAAAGAATTCGGTGGGACTCGAACCCTGCACCTTCGGCTCGACGCGACTACACCTAACCACTGCACCACAGAGGCTGATTACGTAATCTTCAGGAAAAGTCTTTCATTTTATTCCTTTTCCATGAAACTTCCGCCGGCAAGATGATCGCCAGCCGCATTAACCGAGCTATTAACAGTGAAAAAACAATGTAAACGCATATTCCATGGCAATGAATGAATGAAAGAACATAATTATGCTTTTCAAAACGCCGATACACGTCCTCGTCTGCAAAGTAGGACACAAAACATATGTTTTGTTATCTCGATTTCCGCTGTTATTTTGAAGCGAATGGTCAAAATCACATCCATTTTCGGCTCATACAGTTTCTTAAGAATAGCATTGCATGACATTTTCTCACTTTCACATCACCTTCTAGCAAGCTGGAATTTGTATATCCCCCGTGTTGCGGAGTCGAAGAGCAAATGCTCATCTTCTCGTCAGGTTTAACACCTGGACGAGTCAAAGGCTCTTGAATTGAAATCCAATCCCCAAGTTAACCATCGTACTCATCTGAAAGACTCCTGCGTGTCTTAAAATTTGGTAAGACCTCTAACCGTGCTGTAGAAAATTTGCCACAAAGAAAACTCTAAGTCTGAGCAGCGAACGATGCACTCTCTCACCCACCGAACTTCCCCGTGTTTTTATTTGAGTTGTTCGTGGAGCAATGCACTCTGGTTAAATGCAATGCATTGTGGTAAAAAGTGTGGTTAAATGCAATGCATTGTGGTAAAAAGTGATGAATTCGAGAATTCGTCGCCCCTTATATATTTCCTTTAAATCCTGATTATGTTGCTGCTCGCTCCCTTCGGTCGCTCCGCAGCAAAAATGTTCGTCCATCCTGCTCAAACTTCAAGTCACAATCGATGTAACGTTGCTGTTTGTGTTTTTAACATATTACGAGAGATTTATTAAGAATCTCGTTTGTACCAAGTGACAGAGTTTTCCTCTCGTTTACTGTTCACATATCTTGGGGTAGTTTTTCGACAGTTTAATCTAGAAGAATTATTAGTTTGCACAGTTTTTGATCTCCTCATTTTCTATTCTCAAAAATTGTCAAGTTGAATTTGACTTTTGCAGTTTGCCATAACCACGATTCTAAATCTCTTCATTATTTCAATCACCAAAATCACCAAAAAATGTATCCGATTTAATTAAACCCTTTTTTTTCCTAGTCCCTGTACGGCGTTTTCCCAGGCCTTCTCGGTCAATTTGCTTCGGTGACGTGTTCGAGGCGAACGGGCGGGAAACGCCTAGACAAAAACAGAATGCACATGCGTGCGTTGCTTTTGAAATTGATGGACCTTCTGGAGCTTTTCAAGATGTTGTGAACGGCAGGAAATTATGTGTTTGAAACCCTTGTGGATATTTGCGAAACAGAAGATCGACTTTTGAGGAACGTTTTCGAAAGGCACCAGAATGTCATTCATAATCCTGTGAAGATTGATCTCTGCTCCTTCAATCTTGTCATTCTAATTGAACCATCGGAGTTTTTAGCTCTTAACCCATTTAAACGACCGCGCGAAGTTTCAAAGTAAAAACGATACTTTAGTGACCCTCTGTGAAGTAAACTTAAAGCGCACGTCTTGAATAATCAGAAAAACATACTTTCAAATAAAATTCCTCAGCTGCGTATCGAAAACTGCCCAAAAAACAAAAAAGTACAAATTCTATAAAACTTGCCGAAATCTTCGCAGAAGTGATAAGCAATCAAAAATTCAACTTGGATGCTGTAGTCTCGAGCTCAGGATCGTGTTTTGAGCTTATGTTATCAATGAAAGAACACAAAACAACAAACAGAGAAATTATTTCTCGAGAAAATTTATATAAATGCCCATAAATTAATCCTTAAAGCAATTCGCGTTACACTAACTGGCTCAGGGATCCGTTCACGCGAGCAAAATCGGCTGAGCACAATTATGGAAAAATTCAACATAAATCTCCAGTCGGGGAGCTCAAGCCGATCTCAAAATATATAAAATGTCCATGAAATATTTACAAAAACATAAATTTCCTTTTAAATTAAAAACGTAATTTTCTTGACTGTAAAGTACAAAATGTACCTGTGATTCTTCAAAAACTTCGCTGCTTGGTTGCGTTTCAAAAAAGTCCAAATGCTCCACCGTAAAGAAAATTTCCAATACCTCGAAGAATAATTTTGTAAAGAAAAGCCTTCCTTTGTCTAATAAAAGAAAACTAAGCATTCTTCTGAACTTTCCCTTCCCATCTGTGTCTATCAGCGATGTAATTTTTAACGTCGAAATGAGACACTTTGGTCTTGTAAGCAACCGCAAGGATATCTCTCTGTCTCACTATTGAGGATTTTTGTTTAGGCCTCACTTCTTCGTTCGGACCACGTGACCCGAAACGAATTGGCCGCGCGGAATAATGAGGCCTAGGGACTAGGCAAAACTAATTCTAGATATCCTAGGCTACGGTTACTGTCAGTAATTGCACCAGAGTACAGCCCTATTTAAAGAGAACATACCGTACATAAGGTACTTTAACACGTACCGTTAAATCCGAGTACTCTAACTCTGAGACAGATTCCATTGTGCCAGGTTTTTGCCACGATCCTCAAATAGCGTGCTTTGATTTCGTGTAAGAACTGAATTACTGTTACACTCTTGCTATCCTTATTCGCTTCCAGTTCAATTCGCTCGGATTCCGAATCAAAAGCGTGGGTGTATCGAAACCACACTGCACCGTCAACGCTGTAGTCTAGCCTGTACTTTGTTACGTATTCGTCTCTGCTATGGTGTCCTTGCGAAGCAATTCCGGTGAGCATCATGGCCTTTCCAAAGTCAAGCTGCAGGTATTCATTAACCTGTATTTGACCTGCGCACCATGAACCCTCGTCACTTAACAGCTTTGCCTTTTCTGGTTCGTGGGAAGGCTTACTACTCGACGCAGATGAAGAAGAAACTGGNTTGGTCTTGTAAGCAACCGCAAGGATATCTCTCTGTCTCACTATTGAGGATTTTTGTTTAGGCCTCACTTCTTCGTTCGGACCACGTGACCCGAAACGAATTGGCCGCGCGGAATAATGAGGCCTAGGGACTAGGCAAAACTAATTCTAGATATCCTAGGCTACGGTTACTGTCAGTAATTGCACCAGAGTACAGCCCTATTTAAAGAGAACATACCGTACATAAGGTACTTTAACACGTACCGTTAAATCCGAGTACTCTAACTCTGAGACAGATTCCATTGTGCCAGGTTTTTGCCACGATCCTCAAATAGCGTGCTTTGATTTCGTGTAAGAACTGAATTACTGTTACACTCTTGCTATCCTTATTCGCTTCCAGTTCAATTCGCTCGGATTCCGAATCAAAAGCGTGGGTGTATCGAAACCACACTGCACCGTCAACGCTGTAGTCTAGCCTGTACTTTGTTACGTATTCGTCTCTGCTATGGTGTCCTTGCGAAGCAATTCCGGTGAGCATCATGGCCTTTCCAAAGTCAAGCTGCAGGTATTCATTAACCTGTATTTGACCTGCGCACCATGAACCCTCGTCACTTAACAGCTTTGCCTTTTCTGGTTCGTGGGAAGGCTTACTACTCGACGCAGATGAAGAAGAAACTGGTATAATTTCATTTCCGAAACCGTGCAACTCTGAGGACACTGTAAAAGGAAAAAAACAGTTTGTAATTCTATGACCTTCTCAAAATATTTAGCATTGAGGAAATGGTATTTTCCCCCAATGTCCTAATGATTTTAACTTTCATATCTCTGGAAATAGGGAGTTTATAATTAATTAATATAGTTAATTAATTTACTTTTTAATCTATTTACTTATTTATTCTTTCATTTAATATTTATTTATTCAATATGACCAGTATTTTAATACCTTCACAACCATAAAGCTCCAATCTGATACTTGGACGACCAACCCAGTCCTTTACTATCACCCGGATGTATCTGGCAGTTATATTATGCTCAAGTCTGTGCTTATATGGGAGCGCAAAACTTTCCGAAGGGGTATGGAATGTCTGGAAGTGAAGATCACAAAAATAATAATTAACAATTATCGGATGAGGCTGAGTATCATCTGAAGAATTATGGAGATCGAGGAGGAGGGCCCCTCGAGATCTCCATAATTCTTCAGATGATACGAAGCCGAATGCATTAATTGTTTTATTATTCATTGAAAATAATTCCTAGTTTAAAAACAAGCCAAAACATGCTCACCTTCATCGATGTTAAGTTAATCTTTAATTGCATGTTTATCGGCAAGTTTAGGAGATTAAGTGTTTTTTAGTCCTGCAAATATTCTCCTAATAGCGGATGTCATCCGTCGAGTTCTTTTCTTGCTATTCTTGGTATATTTTTACCCAATAGTTCCCCCATTTCTTCCTCGTGAAAGGAGTGAAATTTTCCGCCATTTTGAACTCACTACCAAAACAACGCAACCTCGTCCCCAGGTCTTCTCGGTTAACTGTTCAGTTTTCAAGCAATTATGCTGCACAATTGACGTCATTTTACACACGTCGCAAAAATCTTCTAAATTTGGTCAAGAGTAGCTGGTTATGATGAATTATGCTGGAGGTAGAGTGGCCGAGTGGTCAGCTCGTCGGACTCGCAATCCGGCGGTCCCGGATTCGAGTCCCGCTCTGGCCACTTGCTGGATTTGTTCCTCGGCCACGCTTTTAAATAGCCTATCCTTGGTTTACAACAAGGTGACAAGGCGGCAAATCCTGGCTGACAAAACAAATTTCTTCACAGAATTTATATATGAAGAATAGTTTAATTCCCAACGGAACAAAACGCTCTTGTTTTGTCCACAGACCTACATGGTCGCTACGATTTCCAGTAATGCTGCTTATGCACGTAGCTTTGTTTGCACCCCGAAATTTTGGGGCGTTTATTGTTTTCAATTTCTCTTAGGACGATAGGAACACCCAGGAGAAATTGGAAGCAGTGGGCCGTAGGTAAACTTGATAGACTGACGCAGTGTATCAGGGCAGTGGGAAAATAGCGAACTGAATCGAAAAGAATAGACTAAAATGGAATGGAATGAACTGGAATAGAAAGTACTGGGACTGAAAAAATAGCGACATTATTTACACATGGCATTAAGAATTGAGGCCCTTCCATTTATACAATAAATTAGTTATAATGATAATAATGATAATAATAATAATAATAACATTAAATTTAGAGTTAAAAACTTCTAATTGTAACGTATTTTTAAAAGAAATCTCTTCTTATGTTAGTTGAACGTTTACATCAGATAAAGAGGTCGGCTAGACCTGCAAATGACGCACTCCTCAATATAAACTATTGTAATTTTTCATTCCACACCAAGTCTTTCAAAAAGTGTAAAAGGTTAGAGTG